GGGCGAACCTTCTTGTAAATCACATTGTGGGTCCTCACCACAAAAGCCAAGCACCTGATGGGCACAGAGGGAAAAAGAAAGCGCGATAGAGACGGATGAGAAGGCATACGGAGCAAAGAGTTGGTGCAGGATTAGAAATGAGAGTGGGTGAGAGAACAAGGACTTGTAATGACCCGTATGTTGTAAGCACACTCACTTATTAGCATCAAAGTTGTGGCGAACATCCAAGTTAGAGCAGATGGTCTGAATGTCTTGGAAGCGCTTGCTGATTATTCTCGGTTTACTGTCATAGCACGCCTGGAGAGACACGGCAGGAAGACGAAGATGTTGAAAGGAAAGGAAGAGAGACCAGTGATGGAAACAAAGGGCGAAAGATGGAGAAGATCATCTTAGAAATGAAATGAACATTTGTCGTGATGGAAGCGTGCTACATCCGGACACAAATATTACAAACATAGTGTGCATTGGCTAACATACAGTCAGCAGTTTACATCCACTCATCGTGGGATTGAACTGCATGGTGATTTGGGGCTTTTAATAGAGTCTTTGAACTCTCATTTTCTTTTCAAATTCACATATATGTGGTTATATAAATTATTACCACTGATATCTGTTTAAATGTCCCTTAGTAAGATGCACCTCAGCCAACACTTTTGATAGCAATCAACAAACTTCTGGCATAATTCTGGTTGAATATTTGAACACTCCTCTTGGAAGAATGGGTACCATAGTTCATTTAAACTGGTTAGTAGCCACACATTTTCAGCTCTCACAGTTCAAAAGAACAAATGGAAAGTGGTACTTTTGAAGTTTCCAGATTAAACATTTAATACACAAAACAAATGGAGAAACTCCAGCGTGCATCGTGTAAATCTTTAACATTAATCCGATCAGGTTAAAGAGCTTTTATACCCCTGTGCCATTATCAAAGAGAAAAACAGAGATTTCAAATAAACACAGCTCACGTGCACTAACCTGACAGAGGAACATGAACGTGCCTTTGTTTTCCTGTAGGAGGCATATGATGCTGCTCACAGGGTCCAGTTTAAAAGATTTTGTGCCAAACAGTCGGTTTCTGTCCAGCCTCCCTTTCTTCTCCTCTGTCCAAACATCGATCTCCATCTGGTTGTAGGCAAACGTGCATTTCTCTCCA